AGGAGGTGAGTGTGGACAGGGAGTGAAAGCTGAGCAGGTTACAGTGACAGACTGATGCTCCTTCAGGTCAGAGGGAACATTAATGCTGGGCCTCCAAGGAGAATCTGGAGTTTTATATGAAACCAGCAGGTTAAAAAGTGAAATGTGTAAAATATGTACATTGAATAACTCTAACGGTTGTTCTCAATAGGTTTCCAGTATACTCAACATGTCACAAGCATGAAATATGTACATGATAATTTGTGATTTTTTTCCTCATTATTTTTCCGTGATTCTTATTGAAGCATTTGTGGTCTTGAAGACAAGAGAGAATATCTCAACATAAAGTTTCATTCTCATCTCACCAGGTGATTGTTTTCCAATGATGTCTCATTTTCTTGTTCAATTTCATGTGTATTTGTTTATTTGTTTTACTTTTCTAAATCCACAATTATGCCGAGGACAAATGCTCGATTGTTTTTTGTCATGAATAACATGTTTTCTTCTGTTTGAAAACAAAACAGCCATCAGTTGATTTTTTGTCTGTGAAAATATATATTAACTCTTAGTTTACACGTAATAATTCTTAATGATGTGCTCTAAATATTTAAAGTGCATGTTTGATCTAATTGGAGATAACGTTAATGTTTTATGGAGGTTCATGAAGAGTCTCGACTTTAATGTCACTGAGAATCTGTTGAGTGAGCTCATCAATAAAAATATTTGGAAGAAATTGCCAATATCCCAGTGGAAAAAGAGGAAAGCTGGTCAAAAATGATAAAAGTAATTGTAATATTATGCAAAGCCAATAATGATTTTGTTTTTCTTCAAGAAACTGAATAGTAAAGGCGTGCAAAATGTTAATTTTTGAAATGTCAAAAAAAACAGAGAAGTCTTGTTTTTATCATCTTTTGAGAGACACCCGTCTCATTTCCCATCAGTAAAACAACGTCTCGATTGAATGAAAATAACCTAAATACATCAGGGGTGTAAATAATTCTGAATAACGTTGTACATCAGTATCATAGCATAAACAGGCAAAAATTGTCTTACCTTTGACTGTTATATGAAGAGGATGACAAGCATCAAATGCTTTGAATGGCTCATTCAGAATTCGGAGGAAGTATTTGTCAGTATAACTTGTATTTAAATTAGGAAACAGAGTGGTGCAGTTTTTCTCTCTCAGGTTTCCAGTCATATTCAGTGAATATTTGTTAACTGACCCATCGCTGTTGAAAATAACAGGACTTGGTTTGGCATTAAAGTTTGAATATTTCTTCAGCCAAATTCCAAAGATTGCCATATTGATGTTATATCTCAGATCCGTCGTATTGTAGCTACATGGGATTTGCAAACAGGATCCACTCAGTGCTTCCATCCGCCCAGGTGTGTTAGCAATAAGGACTGGATTGGGACAAGGAACCACATCACCTGTAAGAACAGCAACAATAAAAATATTTGACTGCAGATGAATTTCATCATCTAACCCCAGCTAAGTTGCAGCATTTTACATGTGAAGTCTTGAAGCAGACTAGTAATGTTTCATGTGATGTCTCCAAATTAAAGGAAGTGAACAAACATCTCACCTGGAAGAAAGACGACACTCAGTATCAAGTTGACTCTCAGCATGTTCTCAGACAGAGCTGACATCAGACTGGAAAAAGATGAAATCAACTGCTGCATTTCAATAAGTTATATCTGAATAAAACGGATTTAAAAAAATTTATATTATTATCATTATCTCTAGGTATTTGGACCTTTAGTTTCTCAAGGTTTTCTATTCTGATTTTCTCTTTGCTGTTAATTTACTTGGTTCTTGCCATTTTAGTTAATCTATCTTAGTTGATTTATTCATCTGTCTTTCCCCATTGTGCTCCAGTATTTATTATTATAATTTATTTCCCCTGTGGCTTTAGCTTCCCTGTGTATCTGCTAGGTTTATACTCCTCTGCCTGCGCTCTTCCCTCAGCTGTTTCTGTTTCACTCTGAGGAAGGAGTGGAGAAAAACAGGAAGATCAGAAGAGGTAATCGGAGTGACATATGGACTGATAATAAACTGGTTGCAATGGTTTCTTTGTCAGTTTTTCCATTTGTGACATTGTTACTTTCATCTGTCCACCTTTCCAAGATCTTTTCCTTAGTTACCATTAAACATGTGCTTAAAGATCATTTTGAGGTCCTGTCTACATCTTTATGAGGGCCCGTTTAGGACAAAAATGTTTTCTCTCACACACACTACTATGGACTCTCTCACACACACACACACAAATAAAATTGCACTATTACAATATTACATGCTGTTTAAACTAAACATACAGACATACTTGTCTAATATTAAATCACACACACACACATGTTTGTGTTGCTATCTTTGTGGGGACTTTCCATTGACTT